GTTTGAGAGCCTTGATGGCAGAAATCCCCAACCTAATCCACAAGAAAGGACGAAGTTGTAATGATCAGCTGGTCGTCTACCTGATGGCTTTGAGCCCCGAAGCCTGAACCCATAAACTGTGAGCCTTAGAACCTTAGAACCACAACCCTAAATCCTAAACCTTAAACCCTAAAACCTAAACCCTAACCCCCAAACCCTAGACCCTACAGTCGAAACCCTAAAGTGCTAAGGGCTCAGGGTTCGCAGAGACACTCCTGAGGGCCCGCATGCTCAAGCTGCTTAGCAGGAAGGAGTCCGCCTGATCAAGACGACTTGCCAGTGTGGGGGATTTTCTATACCCGATCTCTCTCTCTCTCTCTCTCTCTCTCTCTCTCTCTCTATATATATAAATATAAATATAAATATAAATATAGACATAAATATGAATATATATATATATAAACGTATACATTGTTTTATCTAATTGTATTTGTGTATTTACTGATTAAAGTACTCATATGTATGTACCTTGTTGCCTACACTAAGCTCTGAAGGGCTTTACGGCTTTAGGGCGAGGGTTTGCCGGTTTGCCCTTGGTGGTTACCCTCTCCCACTTGCAGTAAGCACCAAAAAGTTGGAAACCGGATTAAGGAGAACGAGTGCTCTGATTCCCTACACATTATTCTTACGGATTGAGGCCACTGGTGTTCCAACTTTTGGGCTTCTGCTATAAGGAGCACTGTGGAAACTTAAGTTTCAATCCCCCCCGTACTTGGAGTCCCAGGACTTTAGGGCTTTTATCCGGAGTTCAGGATTCAGGGTTCATTCATGAGCTCTAGTCGGGAGAGTAAATGGCCCTGTCATCCTGGGCTGGGCTAGACTGCAACTCTAGAGGATGGACTAGGCTGTCGGGTTGAAAAGCAAGCGCGATGATAGCGTAAAGTCAGGCCAGGCCAGCATCATGCTCGGGCGCCGTAAACATCTGCACCATGTTTGCAGAAGTGTTATCGTACCTTCCACTTCCACTCCTCTCTTGGCTGAAGAGCCTTGCAAACAACGCCAACGACACGGATGTCGTCTCGGATGTGACCCTAACCACAAGCCCCAAAGCAAAGCCATCCTTCCTGAAGCCAATATTTGAGGCCGTCGCTTCATGGATTTCAGCTTAGGGCTTAAGGTAACACCCAACTCCCACAAACTAGGAAACCACCACCCCCCTGCATCTGTGACGAGAGTCTCGGACAGCTTCCCTTGAACCCGAAACCCGAAACCCCCTAAAACCCCGGAATCCTGTAACCCCTAAACCCCTCAACCCCAAACCCCTAAACCCCCAAACCGCTAAGCCCCTAAACCCCCCCGAAAAGATGCACTCCCAGCAAGATCCGGCCCGGAGAGAATTACCTTGCAAGCCCTCTCTGTAACCTCTTCGGAGGATTAGGGTTTAGGGATTTACGGGTTTAGGATTTATGGTTTAGGAATTGAAGGTTTGGGGTAAAAAATACCTACTTCGCTGTCTAAAATCTTTGGACGGTACCTACTTTGAGCCATTTCGAGCCTCGGGGTTGGGCCTCCCGAATCCACAGCGGCACAAACTCCGTGGGGAGGAACACTACATGAACTAGGGCTCTGAACACATGTAGCCCCAGAAGGACACAATAAATCTGTATGTATGTATGTATGTATGTATCTATAAGTATGTATGTGAGTATGTACACCCTGCAATACCCTAAACCCGCAACCCGAAGCCCTGATGCAAAGGCTCCACGTGCCTCCGAGCTGTCAGACATGGGGCTCACCTCGGAGCTTCTCTGTACTCTACGCTAATGTAGGGGCCTGCAAGATGGAACAACAGGGTTTGGGGGTATACTCTACAGTACGACAACCAGGACAAGGAACCCCAACAACCCTATTCAAATTATGAAGGCGCCTACATTACCTTGGGCCGTGGCCTTGGGGTTTAGGGCCTTAGGGTTTAGGGTTTGAAGGGACTGAGGGTTCCCGCTTCCGGCTCCCTACGTTGAACTGAAGACACGGTTTAGGGTTTAGGGCTTATGGGGCTTAGGGTTTGTAGGGTTTAGGGTTTAAGGCTTATCGGGCTTAGGGTTGGTAGGGTTTTGAGTTTCATGAAGAAGAGCAGCATTTGCTAACAGCCTCGTCGTCATACTGACAACATCTGCAGCAACTGATGGACCTGGGTGCCCCATCTCAACGCCGCTGAATGCCGTCCAGCCTAATTGACTCCGAGGCCTAAACTCCAAAACCCTGAACCGTAACCCCCAAAACCATAACTCAAGATCCTACTTGGAGGATCAGGGGACTTAGTACTGTAAGTTGGGTTATAAGTACCTGAATTGGGGTAATAAGTACACAATTATGATCCTTTAAGTAGCAATTGGGGTTATGGGTATATAATTATGATCCTTTAAGTAGCAATTGGGTTTATAAGTATATAATTATGATCCTTCAGGTAGCCCCAAAAGTAGGCTTGGGCGCTGCTGGGCTGTTTTGGGATTAGGCACTT